TGAAAGTGATTTCGAACCAGTTCGCAAATTATGCCGAACACTCTAATATAGTGACGATAATTCTAAAGAAAAATATGTGAAGAAAGATTAACTTTCATAAAAAAAATTTGTATTTTTTTTTGTAAAATTTTTCCGTATAAATTTAGAAGGAATATGTTATGATTATATTTTTTCTGAAATTAAATAAACTTGTCTATGATTGTTATCGTTTTTATAAAATTATGAATAAACATTTTAAAAAGATTATAGTAAGACTAATTATTTTTCTGAAATTTAATAAACCCTTTTTTATGCGATTTTCGGTATATTGTAATTCATTGATTTAGTTTTATGCGGTTTTAAAAAAATTATGGAACGTATCCTTTATTTTTTAGTGTGTCTAGTCCTTTTTTGTGCGATTTATTTTTATGCGTTTTCCTGTGGAACGTATCTACCGCATAAAAAGAGAAGCAAGTGTACTTAAATATTTGAAGTAGTACTATTATCAATGTAAATATTATAATACTAAAATAAACTTAAACTAAATTTAGATTCTCTATAATCCTTATATAAATTGCAACAATTACTTTTGATGATTCACAATCAAATTATTACGAAATACGTGATTCGTTCCGGCAAATTAGAAACTAAATTCGTAAAGTACACGATCCCAGTTTAAATGATACAGAACCAATTAATTCATACGTGGCGCCCATTTTCCACCTTAATAAAACTCCTTTAAAATGTCAAAAGTTGACATTTTAAAGTTTCATAAAATGAAAGGGCGCTTATAATACAATTGCTGCAATAAAAAGGAAACATAATAATTGCATAACAAAAAAATCAGTTATTTAGATTTTAAATTGTCGACATTTTTTTTTGGTGAATGAAATGAATAAAAATTTGGGAGTATATAATAAGCGATGTTCCTGACATCAAGAAAATAAATATAGTTTAAATACAGATGCGCACTCTAAATACTGCGTATGATTCAGTGAGCATTGGGCAATGTGAAGACGTTAAGAAACGGAGATCGAAGAAAAATATAGTTAGTGATTCATAGATTTTTTTATTTGCTTTACAAAGAAATAGAAACTTACATAACGCAAAATATTTGCGTTTTTTTACCAATTTATAGTTATAAAAATAATATTTTGATTAAATTGATTTAAGCCGAATTAGGACACTACAAATTTACTATGAAAATGCACTTACAATTTCTGATTCAATTCTTTTCCAGACACTTATAAAACTTAAACTTAATAACATAATTTCTCTTACTGAATGTTATACAAAATCTGTAATTTTATAGTATTTGCATTTTGTATTTTTTGTAAGTTTTGTAAGTTGCTCATAATACACTTCCAATTGTGCAAAAATAGTGATAAATCAAAACAAATTATTAGTAAATTATTAACTTTACTTGAAGCAAATATATTTTTTTGTTTCCACTTTAAATCCTCTTCCAATGTCTTTGAAAAATTGATGAAAAAAAAATGAACGATTTCTCGCAGCGAATACGTCTATAAATACTATTGATTACATTGCCCGTTCGTTTTATCCTCTTTTTTTCTGTCTACTTCTTCAAATGATTTGTAACTGTTACGAGCGGAAATCCATGGGGCCTCAGTTCGTATTTTCGTGACGTGCGTGCATTCAAAATTTGTTATGCGTAGGGGACGACCTTCTACAGCTTCTGTAGTTTTGATATACATCCCATACGACCACGCGTCATCCACACTCACATGCCACACATATGCTGTTGTTATGGTTACTTCTACTACACATACTCGAGAAAGAAAGACCTGTTACACTCATCACCAAGAACGTTCAATAAATATGATGTGTTTGTTTGTGTTTTTTTTTAATTGTTGTTTAAAAATAAACACTCTTACATCGGTTCTAATATATAATAATATTTGTAACACATATTTTGATGAAATATCATTTGCATTTGGAGTTAAAGAATGTAATGATTTCAAAACTAATGTATGTAATTTTATATTATATAAAACGTTCAATTTTATTGTTGATTTGTAGAGTAAATTCTTTAGGATTGAGATGTTTATTCTTTAAATATTCTGGATGTGAATTTCTTGAAGGGCGTACGAGCAGAGACACCGAGCGATAAAGCTCGGAAAGCTCGCCCGGAATGCGATCCACGATGTTCCTCGATCTGCTGGAATCCTGGTGGATCGCGGGCCTTATTTTGCAAGATCCGCTTTTAATCCTTCAGTTTTATATAACCCATCATCATCATCGTCGTCGTCGGAACGATCCCTCTCAGCGGTTACGCTAAAAGAAAACAGCCGTTGTTAAAAACGGGGGCGCTTGTCGTGTCGATCGAATCAATGTGGATGGATGGATGATGATGGTGGGAAGAAGGAAACATAACGGAGGCGTGGGAGTGTTTCAACGAATTTCGTTCCATGGTGATCAGGAAAACAGGAGAAGCCTGGAGTAACTAATACAGGAGAGATACACACACACATTGACGAAAGAGAATTGAAGAAAAAAGAAAAAGGATAAGCAGGTAGAAAGAAGCGAGCGGAGAGCGTCAGCTGTCAGTGAAACATGACTGACAGAAGTTGCGGAGATCGTCGGATTCGTTGATCAGGAGGGCAGGAAGACACGGAGGCGACGGTCGACGGTCGAGTTTCTCGCCCGCCTTTTGCGTAATTTATGCAGAATTTGCAGAAAATTAAGCAGGATACCTAATAAAAGAGCAGAATTGCGAGGAGGATGCGAGTTGTGTGGGATGATGATGGCACGACTGGAATTCCAAGCTCGAGATTCTAGAGCGAAAGGGGTAAGACGGAACCGAATTCTAAGCATTCGGAGAGCAGGTTTCGAGAGAGGTCGACGATTTTAAAGGAACGCACCGTTCTTACGTGCATTTCGAACGCAAACGAAGATAGTTTGAAAAGTTCTATATCAGCAGTCTCAAGACAATTAGTTTTAAATTTGTCAATAAACAATTTAATAGTTAAGCAATTTTTAAAGAATTATTCTTGTAAATTTATATCGTTTAAATACAAAATGAAAAAGTCAAAGAATTTAATATTTCATTATTGTGTTATATTTATCAAATAATTAAAATAAATAACAAGAAGTTATTGTTTTTATTGAAATCATTAACCCATTTTTAATGTAACATTTGCTAGGACTATAAAAACTTTATTTCTTGTTTCTCTCTATAAAGCTCCGAATTATTATGTTATTTCTTTCATTTATTTTCCTAAATATTGTTGATATTAAAGTCTGAATGGTTTTAAATAAAATTGTGAAAGGTTTTAGTAAAAATAATAATTTTAGAAGGTTGTAAATCAATAGAAAATTATTTAATTTGCTCGTGATATTTATTGTGATATAATTAGCGTTGAACCTTTACGTTTGTTAACAATTAAATTGCAGCATGAACATGTCTTCTGATGCCATCTCTAACACCATTGCCTAATCCTTCGTCGACTTGCAAGAGGTTGGAAATCAATCTTTCTTGTATGAATTGAGTTGCGTTCTTCAGATCAAAAGCGATGTTATCTATAAGTCGTTGTCGTTCCTGCGGCGGTAAAACCCTCTGGTAAAGAATCCTTCCCTGGGTGAAGTTATCCTCGAGGAGGCTAGTATCGATGCGAACGGTATTCCCTACCAAAGAGAAACTGGGACTCAACTCCTTGGCGATGATGCTCGGTTCTGGACCGTGGAAACTGTTCGGATGGTAGTTCGGAGCACCGCCCTGACTCTCCAGTGTGAATTTACCAGCTCTGTTGAAGTTCTTCGCCTTCGATGGAGAGTTGACCGGAAGCTGTTCGTGGTTCACGCCGATGCGATACCTCTGCGTATCGTTGTACGCGAAAAGTCTTCCTTGCAGCATCCTATCCGGAGATACGTCGATTCCTGGTATCAAATTTGCAGGGCTGAAACCCAACTGCTCGACTTCGGCAAAATAATTGCTCGGATTCTTATTCAAAACCAATCTTCCGACTGGTATCAAAGGGAAATCGGCGTGAGGCCAGGTCTTTGTAACATCGAAAGGATTGAAGCTCAACTTATCCACTTGCTTCGGATTCAAGATCTGCACGTAAAAAGTCCAACTGGGGGATCGTCCTTCAGCGATGGCGTTGTACAAATCGCGGAGAGAGTAATCCGGATCAGCTCCGGCTATTATCCTAGCCTGATCCGAAAATATGTTTCTTATCCCCTGATCCGTCTTGTAGTGGAATTTGCAATAGTTAAAATCACCTTTCGCGTTGACAAAGCTGAAAGTGTTGGAGCCGTAACCGTGCATGTAACGATATCCATCAGGTATACCACGATCCGAATACAAGACGAGCATCTGGTGCATGGTTTCCGGACGCAATGAGAAGAAATCCCAATACATATCCCAATCCCTAAGATTCGTAACTGGATTACGCTTCAATATATGTATGAAGCTTGGGAAAAGGATCGTATCTCTAATGAAGAAGATTGGAGTGTTATTTCCGACAATATCCCAGATTCCATCTTCGGTGTAGAATTTTACAGCGAATCCTCTAGGGTCTCGGACCGTGTCTGCAGAGCCCATCTCGTTGGTCACTTGAGAGAAGCGTACAGCAATTGGGGTTCGTTTGCCGATGGTGTCGAAGACTTTGGCCGCTGAAAACTCGGTTATGTCGTTGGTAACTTCGAAATACCCGAAAGCTCCGGCGCCTTTAGCATGGACAACTCTCTCCGGGATGCGTTCACGATTGAAATGAGCCACCTCGTCGATGTTAACGATGTCTTGAAGAAGGATCGGACCATCTTTACCAACAGTTAAACTGGCATCTTTTCCTGGTATTGGATTACCAGATCCAGTAGTTGCAACTTCTTTAACATTCTAAAAACCAAAAACAAGAAATATTCATTTTTCCAAAGCAGAAAACCAATGTCGAATTAATAATAAATAATAAATTTATTAATTTGTATATAATTTAAGTAATAATGAAGTGTGTAATTAATTACCTTCTGTTTTGTGGCGTAAAACAGGAGCTGGTTAGCACTGGGTGGTCTTTGTTCGGTGGACATTCTTGCAGAATTGTTAACAGTTGCAATTGCATTTTAGTATTTATACTATCTGCACGCCGGAAACCGAAACCGGATAGATAATTGTATTTTAAAAAGTTGCAAGTGCAGTAGGAAATAATAAGTCGCCACATTTATCTTTGCTTTCGGGTTGTTCCTCTCTTCCTCTTCTTCTTCACTATTTACATCTGAAAGTCTGCAATTTTGTCTCTGAAGACAGACAATTTCTATATAAATATTTAAAAGTATAATGTTTGCAAAAATAATCAATATATTATTGAATTTAAATTTTAGGGATTAAGTAATAATTTAAAACATTATTCAATTTTTTATAGAGTTTGGTTAACAGATCAACCCATGTCAAAATTCAAGTTATTACGTCATTTATAATAATCACTAAACATATAAACTCGATAATTTTCTATAATTCGAATCATTAGCTTCACATTTGAAGTATTATAGAAAATCATCAATAAAGTCTGTCAAAGTAAAACATGTAATAATGAAAATTTTAAATTTGTTATTGAATAAATGGTAAAATAACTATAATCCATATTCAAAAATATCTTCTATTTCAGCTATTAATAAGTAACTAAATATTATTGTTATGTGCATTTGTATGTAACATTTTGTTGTATACTGCATTCGATCTTTTGGGAACTTCTGAATCGCGGTCAATACTTGTGTGCGTGTGACCATCCTTCTCCTTCCCCTCCTCTTCCTCTTCAGTATACAGCATACACAGTTTTGTTTACACATGGACTTCCACGAAGACATGTTTTCCTGGTTGGTTGTTGACGTCCTTTCGAGCCTGTGCCGCCCCTAGGAGCGATTGACCTCGCTTGGGGTACATTGAACCAATACAAAAGGCCATGAAACAAACAAACGCTTTGCTTCGCCCACCTCCACAATGGCAGTTGTTTTCCCATTGGTAATCGCACGACCGCAAAAGAACAATAAACTTTAAAACATTATA